TTTCAGACCTCCCCCGTTGGAGAACCCTCCAAAACATCGTCCCCAGACCCCCCAGGCCCTCCAAGATAGCCTGGAAGAGACCCCCCCCCCGAAATGAGACCCCCCTCCCTTTATTACGAAATCTGGAGTACTCAGGGAGCCTGTGGAGGCCAGCTGGGACGGGGCCTGTTGCAGCCAGCTGGGACCACCTGGTGGGGCTCTCTGCGCGCAACCCGAGGCCTCAGCGCGCCGGGTGGCCACGGCCCGACTAGCATGGGGGACACGAGTCCTGAGGGAAACGGGTCCTGGACCCTGGGGCCTTCCACCGGCACGAGATCATCCTCCCCTGTCGTTTTCTGAAAGTCCCGGGGCCCGTGGAGGAGACAGCTGGTACTGATCAGCGGCCATCAAGGCAACAGTATCGGCCCTAAGCATGTCTGTGATCTTAGATGCATCTCGTTGGCTGCAAGGGATGTTCGCGCCAGCCTCAGAGAGCGACCAGCCCCACCCCTTCCCATGCCATCCTCTCGTGACACCCTCACAGGCTAAGATGGGGAGCGCAATCCACAAGGAGGAACCCGAGACCCCGAACACGGCGAGAAACCTCAGGACCCGTGCCCCTCAGGACCTGCCTCCCCCGTGGCGAGCCCGAGCAGCACGACAATCATCAGGCAGGGGGCCTCCCCGAGCCGCGCGCGTGCGCGCCGCGCCGCTCCTCTCGCCCACCCGCGGGGCGCGGTACTTGCGGGGCAGCTGCACCTCGGACGGGGTGCGCCGCAGGGGCGCGGCCAGCGGGCCGAGAGAGGGAGGCGCCCGGCGCCGAGCAAGGGGCGGGGGGGGGAGGGGGCGGGGAGGACGGGGGACGAGGGGGGTGCGGGGGGAGGCAGGGGGAGGGGGGGGGGGAGGAGAGGAGGGGGAAAGAGGCGAGGACGACGAGGATGAGGATGGGACGGGAGAAAGGGGAAGGAGGAGGAGGATGCGGAGGAGGAGGCGGAGGAGGAGAGGAAGAGGAGAGGGAGGAGGAGGAGGAGGCGGAGGAGGAGGAGGAGGAGGAAGAGGAGGAGGAGGAGCAGGAGGAGGAGGAGGAGCGAGGACGAGGAGGACCAGGATGAGGAAAAGATGAGAGGAGAAGAAGAAGGAGGAGAGGAGGAAGGAGGAGAGATTAGGAGGAGAGAAGGAGGAGAGGAGCGGAGAGGAGGAGGAGGAGGAGGGGAGGAGGAGGCGGAGGAGGAGAAGAAGAGGATGGGAGGAGAGGAGGAGGGAGGAGAAGGAGGAGGACGAGGCGGAGGGAGGAGGAGGAGGAGGGGAGGAGCGAGGAGCGAGGAGGAGGATTTTTTCACGCTCGACCTCTGCTTGGCCCCCATCCAGTGGGGACCACCTCTCCTCACAGCACAGTCCAGGGAGAGGGCAACAACTGTACGTTCTTCTCCCTCTTGATCTGCTGTGGGTGTCGGCCCTGGGTAACATAGTTCCAGGCCGTAAGTCCTGCCCCTGACTTCTTACAGGTGCAGGGTTCACCCAGCTTCTTGACGCGGCCGCCTGTGCTGTAACAGCCGCATCGACGGCAGATACAGAGGAAAGAGCCGTCCGTGCAGTCCAACAACGCACAAATATGGTTGAACTGTTCCAGGAGGCTCGGGCACAGACGCGGAGGCACGACGCAGTGGCCAGGTGCAGGACGCGCCTGGCCTCGCTTGCCCCTCAGGCACGTGCCACACTGCCAACGCTCCCCAGTCCAGCACCACTCATGCGGCGTCTTCGACGTCTGAGCGGATCGAATCTGAGGCTTGATGAATTGCACGCCAGATGAGTCAAGCCGCGGCCAGCGCGGCAAGATCTTGGCTGCTAAGAGGATGACAGCCTTGGAGGTCTTAATCTCGCGCTCGACGCGAGACAGAACATCAGGGTTGGCTTGGGGATGGACATTCGCACCTCGCTTCGCAGCGAGGTCAGCATGAAAATTACCCGTCCTCCGCCAAGCCTCCTGAACAGAAATTCCTTCTTCATCTACAGCATTGTGCGCGGCGGCTTTGACCAGGCCCTGGAGGAGGGGACCCGCACCCGCGAAGGCTTCCAGGACCGAGCCCGCGTAGGCCCATTGCCCCCCCAGGCGGCCCCGAGGCGCCCTGGAGCACAAACAGACAACCGACGCACAATCAGAGAAAAGTGTCGCAGGCCCGTCTAAATTGACACCAGCAGCAGCCAGTGCCGAGAACTCACCAGCCTGAAACGACTGCGGCAAGTGAGACCAGACAGGCCCGAAGACTCTGGCCAGAAGGTGGCCCTGATCAGGCATAAGCACGAAGGCCCAGCCAGCCCTGGACAACTCGCGAATCTTAGACCGAAAACAACTGCCGTCCAGGAAAAGACTGCCTTCAAAGCGGATATTCTCGGGCCCAGGGAATTCCAAGCCTGAATCCTGGAAACCTTCCTGGAAAAACTCCATCTTGACAGCGTCCGAGTCCTGCTGACTGACTGGTTGCGGCACATAGTCACCAGGATGCGCAAAGGCACCCGTCAAGAAGTTCACGAGGTCCCCCGAGTTCTGGTCACAAGCGTCCCTGGCCCAAGAGATTACTTCCTCATCCACTAGCTCGTCCCGTTCCTCCTTGCACACTTCGCACTCCCATAATCTGTGAAAGACAGAGTCCACCTTAGCATGACAAAGCGGGCACAGAGGGCACACTTGGTAGCCGTACCTTAGTGCGCGGGAGTTGGCCCACAAGGCGTTGCAAGAAAAGGCACGCACGGAGCCTTTTTCTCAGGCCGTGAGTTTGCTTCGAACGGGGACCAGCCGTGACGACATCGAAGCACAGGCGATTCGATCCATCAAGGTCGGGGGGTTTCCGATCGGGGGCCAATTCCGCGGCTGCAGGCTCATCTAGGCCTTGGACAGGCTCTGGCGGAGGAACTCCGACGCCGTAAAAGAGATCGCCGTCCACCAGCTTGCCGTAGGCCGCTCTCTCGAGCTGGCGCAGCACAGCCTGGCGCAGCAGAACCGTGAAAAGAGCTGGCGAGAGTTGCGTGCAGGAGAGCTCTCGCCCCATGTCGTCGGTAAAAAACAGCCATGGTCCTCGTGTCCTGCCCGATCCTCCTAAGACTCATGAACATGGCACTCATCGGCCCCGAGACACTCCTCCAAGTAACAGGTTGCTGGCGACTGACAAACACACTCTCCCAGGAAGCCCGTGAAGTAGCCCAGTCCAGAGTTCCAGGAAAAGCGCTCGTCCTGAGAAGCCAGACCTCTTTGATATAGCGCAGCACAGGGGCAACCGAGCCGTGCCAAACAGGGCCCCCTTCAATAAGAGACAGCACCGTCAGCGATCTGCGTGCGGCATCGGGCTTGATAGAACTGGCGGCCACTCGCCGCAGACTGTGCACCTCACCGTCCGTGAGGCCCTGGACTTCACAACCGTCTATAAATCCAGGCATCGGGCCTGAAGTGAACACCTTGACAGCTTTCCTCCCGAAGTGAGACCGGCGCCGCTTCAAACGCATAGCTTTGTGCTGCATCTTGATATTATTCTCTTGATGTTTCCTCGTCCTCCCTTTGCCCGTCCGGAAACGCTTGCCAGCCGCATCGTCGCAGCCGAGGTTGATGGCGGAGGTGTCCAGTGCACCGAAAGGGCCCAAGTCAGCCTCCAGCTGCTGGCCCAAAGCGCCACAGGAGCACACTAAGGCAACCTTGTCGAGAGCCACGAAGCCCGAAGCCCCCTAACATCTGCCTGATACCCGCCAGAAGCAGGGAAGCCATGTTCAGGATGGTAGATCTAACAAAGGACCTGGTACCAATAGCCGAGATGCTAGTGTCGTCGATATAGGCGCCGAAGGAAGAAAATTCCGAAGTCTCCCGATCAATGCGGTGCAGGCTGAGCGAACGAGGAACCGTGTCGAAGGCATCGAGGGCGTGGACACGAATGAGGGTAGTGGCCATGCTGCAGATCGCGATTATGCCGTGGGTGGCCCTCAGAGGGCCAGAGATGATACCAGAGAGGCAGATATACCGAGCCGACTTGTACGCCGCCAGACACATGTGCAGGACACCCAGGGGAAACTGAAGCCTGCGGCCTCTAAGCTCCAAGGCCTCGAGGTCGATCAGCTCATAGTACTTAGACATGTCCCACAGAACAGTGGCTGAGCAGGCACCTCGCCTGACGCCAGCTTCCGACCTAAAGGCTTGGCGCCACACACAATCCATAGCCCCTCTGTGCCGTCCAGCGGCCCAGTAGTCCCTGGAAAAACGCGTTTCCCAGGCCTCCGCCAGCGGCCTGCGAGCCCGCCCCCAGAGGCGGTGCACCGAAGGGAAAATGCCGATCGGCCGACCCCCCCCCCCCTTCTCTTTGGCCAACAAGGCCACCAGAACAGCCGAAAGCTGGGTCGGGAGAATGCCAGAGCGCTCAGCAAGCGAGAGGATCAAGCTGAGCACCTCCAAGCTGGCATCACTGAGGTGCTGAAAATGCCTCAAGTGAAAACCATCGTAGGACACGGCACTCCTCTTAGGGTACTTCCTGCTCAGCTTCCGAAGATACTCCACATCCAGAGGGGGAAAGGGGTTCAGAGGGTTGGCACCTGAGCTTCGGGGGCGACGCGCGGACCTGCCAGAGGCCCGAGTACGTTTTGACTTCAGCGCCGAGCAACTGCTGGGGATCAGAAACAACCTGACCCTCAGAGGAGAGGGTGGCAGTGGGCTTCCAGTGCACACTGGACATTGCGGGCACCCTGACTGAGTTTATCCGTCGACCAAGCATGCCAGTCCTGACCGGCCTTCCGCTGGTAGTGCTTTGCGCACGCAGCTAGGACCTCCTCCTGGCGCGTGAGCAGGGCCTCCAGCCTAGCAAGCCTAACAGCAAGCTGGTCAGAAGGCCGATCCAAGTCGCTCAGAGAGGGATCCCCAGCAGCATGCAAGGAGTCGCCCCCGCCCTCGCCTACGCAAGAGGCGGGGGATGCAACGTGTCCTGAGGCCGAGTTTTTCAAAATAGCATCCAGCTCAACGCGGGGAGGAGGGTTGAAACAATCCCAGTCCTTGAGCGAGTCCCTGATGTCCAGCAACAGAGAAATTTTGTCCTGGTGGGGCAGCTGACAAGGGACCCGCTCAGACTAGAGCACGCCAGTCAGCAGCTCGCCGACGGTGCGCCTGATGTCAGTCGAGGCTTGTCCAGCCCAGACCGCAGGTAAAAGTTGGGCAGCAGCGCGGAACCTAGAACAAAACCACCTCATGGCACGGAGCTCTGGGCACCGCCTAGCTTTGACATCTTCCTGAAGGATCGGCTTCCAACAAACCTGGGGGTCCTTGCCTCTAGAACCAAGGCAGGGGAGCTCCTCCTCCAGCCTCTGACAAAGCTCTCCCTCGGAAACATTGGCCCAAGTCTGGTGGGCCCTGCTCAGAAGACGCTGGACCTCCTTGGCATCCTGGGGCCTCAAAGCTCTCTCCCCCAACTCCAGGGGCATGTGAGCCCTTCCGAAGTCCCCTGGGGGCGGCCCCACACCCGTTGGGGCATCCACAGGGAGAGGGGGGGGGGGGGGCTTGCGAAAACCCAGGGCCTGCAGGCGGCAGAGGGCAGGGTAGAACTCCAGCTCCACCACGAAGTGCGGCGAGACCTCGCAACCGACGCATCGCTGCACTTGCTTCGCTCCTCTGGCCAGGCCTCCAGGCACGAGGATAAAGTCGCAGTCCGACTGGCGAGTACCAAAACATGTGGGCGCACCCGTCGAAATAAGTTCACACCTAGTTAACTCCAGAAAGCCCGTATCTCGGAGCT